ACTGTAGTCATTTTTTTGATACCCGATTTCGGCAGGTTGGGGTGTGGCCTGCCATTCTTTTCTGAGATAATTGATCTGATACGCTATATAGCAAACAGAGAAAAAAAGTCAAGTCATAACAAGATGTTTGATAGAATTAGATTAACCATAGTATTAGCTAGTTTTTAACAGTTACTTGTACTACGTAATCTTCTATTCTGGTTTTTATGAATTAGCAAAAGGTTGACGGGTTGAGACAGATGACTATCGTGCCCAGGTATGGAGCTGTAATATTCTATGTGCCCCAGAAGAATACCGTCTATTCATTTTCAGTATCTTCATTTTCGGTATCTGGCCAGATTCTAGCGCAGCTTTTGCATGGAAGTACTATTTCGTCCTGTCGTTTGAAAAACCACATCTTGGTTTTGATGGAGTTTTGCTCTGGCTTTGGCAATGCATGAGCTCGTCCCATAAGTAGCGGAAAGGTTCTGGTCAAGACCAACAAGTGGAGAGACTGATCTCGCACAAGTTCCGGCGGCGGTCTTGCTGTGGACTCCGGAGAGCTTGTCAGTGTGGGTTCAATGCATTCGAACTTGAACATGCCGTTCTTCCGACTACGAGACACGTCACGTTGTACCTGCGTATTGTCGATGCGACTTTGCTCTTCAAATATCTTCAAAACATACTCCGACAGCTCCTTCTCAGGATTGCCGCTATCCTTTGCAATTTTGTGGAATGCAGAAAGAATCGCACAGATTGGGATCAAAGATTCATACGAGGCATCCTCCAGTAGCTTTTCCTTTAACCGTTTCTGATACAAAGGTTTGTTGGGGTCGAGGGCAATTTGCTCCGGCGTATCGCGAGTTTGTTTGATATTGACATGGGCGCATAGTATGTGCTGCGCCCATTTATCGAGAATCTGCCCCTCAAACTCGAGACGCGCGATTTCATCGCTTTTTAGGCTCTTTTCTCCAGTATCTAAATTTTTGTACTTGGCTATTCCTAAATGGTGGAAGATATGAACGCTGTAGTGAAAATCGCTCTGGCTTATTTTGCGCGACTGGGAACCTCCCAGTTGGCGCTGGAAGAATGATCCCCAAGAATCCTGTGAGCGTACTGCAAATGTTAGCAGCGGTTCTGAATCTCTTGATCGTGAATTACATACAGAGTTTCGATGAAATTGGGGATGTTGCAATAACTTTACAAGTTCTGATATGAGAGACATAGGGGTTAGGGGAGGGTGGGTCGTCAAAGACAGAGGGTCTAGACCAAGACCGAGTCGTTGTAGTGGCCCAGATATTCTCGAGATTGAATTCAATCTTGTCTGTGAGCTGGCCAATCATCCACGCCAGAGTGATGTTTGCAAGAGTCATATCCTTGTTTCCACCACCAATATCGCTATGATTTCCCGTAAACCACCGCTGCTTCAAAGTTTGGCTCGCTCCATCTTCTAGAGGAGACCAGACCATGGGTTTAAAATGTCTCCTTCTTTCGTCCAGTGCAAGGGCTTGAACGGCGAACTTGATCTTTCTGGGTACTACATCGTCCACTGTGCAATATTTCCGCCGAGGCAGTTGCGGGAGGTGGGCAGCCATAGGAAATCCAATCGCGCTGACCGTTTCCCAAACTGCGCAAGCTTCGATCCCAACATTTTCCTTCTCCGGATCCACAAGCTCTCCCCATGCCACAAGGTCGTGACATAACTTCTTCAAAATGCGCCTTCTCTCATCGGCTGGGTTAGGGCTCAGGTGTTTCCATATCTTAAAGAGTTTGGGCAGGTGGCGTAGCCCAATCTTTGTTAACAAGCCGACTTCTTCTATGAGTTGAGCAACGCATCTTACGGTAAAGGCTCCCCTTGAAAAGCCGATAAGAACTATCTGATCGTCCTGTGAAGACCAGTTTAGACAAATGAAGGTGTAGGCTGAGCGAATAGCTTTGGAAAGACCTAATCGGGTATCTGTTAGTCTTAGAATCATTCTTGATAAAGGAAAAGCACTAACTAACCTCTACCTGTCATGGCATCCCAAGTATTTGAAACTTTTCCCGTACCCAAGCCAACTCCCGGTTGGTAGTGGACAATCTGTATATAAGTCTTTCTACTCTCTCGAGTTATTCCATCTTGGCCCTTCGGCTTCCAGTCATCCTTATCGCTGATACATCGAGCAATCTTTGCCACATTGGTTAGAGCTTTGCCTTCAAGGTCACCGGAGTTCCAAGTTCCGTCACAACAGACTATGAGTCTTTTGTGTGGGTGTGATTCTTGTCCAGAAGTAGACGGCATCCCTTCAAAGGCAGAGAATTCATTCACCGTGGACTCACACATCTTGGGGGAATTACTGCTTGACACGGATGGCTGCTTGCCTGCTTGACCAGCAAATATTCAAGATATCGAGATCCTTAGGAGTATTGAATTTGTGGGTATTGATTTGGTCGCACGTGACTTGATTGGCAATGATAGAGGATGGATTTGATGTGAGTAATGTTAGGATGAGACACAGAGCCACAGTGATTCTCGTGTCGATGGCCTTAGTTGATTGTGGTGCACTGTACTGTGATCGGTTTGCATTCGAGGTTGTGTTATGTGCCAATGGTATCAGACTACTCTGTGCTTCGCTCAACAGCTCAGTACCGCAGTAAATTTCTAATAGAGATTCTGGAGATGATTGTACTGTGAAGGTAAGTTGAAGACTGACATGCCATAAGGAACTAGCGCTGTAAGTAAATTAATGTGCTGTACTCAGCTCATGCAAGGCCTTGTTGTTAGTGCGTTCAGCAGAATAACCGAGACAAGGCTCCCACGCCTTGTCCCGCATCATCTAAAAGCGCCTCTGCTTGATGTTTGTTGCTGCTTATTGCTTGCGAACGCCACCTCATATTTGAGAAGACCAGCCTGCTCTAATCTCAGTAGCTATTATAGAGGGTTCGCGACCAGGGGTAGCTAACATTTGTTTTTCTACTCGACACAAGTTACTGGTCCCCGAATAGCTGGAGTGGGATCGCAGCCAAGATTAAACAGTTGCAAGCGGTGGTAGCCTGAAACCCTCTCTTGCCTATGGATGGAGCTTTGGTAAAACGCAAGTTTCCAAATCCAGGTCGATTGCGTGGCGGGTTACAATTGGCTGATTGGCAGAAATTAGCAGAGCTATTCGTCGTGTTCAGCTGCAAATTGAGGCCAACGTTGACCGGAACTAGACGTGGCGGGTTACAATTGGCTGATTGGCAGAAATCAGCAGAGCTATTCGTCGTGTTCAGCTGCAATTTGAGGCCAACGTTGACCGGAACTAGACGGGGTACACTCTGGGTAGAACCACCGACACACCAGGGTAAATGTCATGGTCTCAAACAGAAACTTTCAAAATCAAATGTCGTTAATTGGCATGCTAATCAACCTTGATATTGTTACCACTCTCAATTAGCGGCTGTTTCACAGTGAAAAATACCTAAGTGTTATCTTGGTACTACTTCCCATTAAGAGTCGAATTTATAATATCTCTCGACGCTGAATAAGTCAGCGTATACTTGCAATTCACTAGATAAGTTATAAAGAGTTATCTTAAATTCGGTATAGCTAATTAATATATAGCTTAAGTTGTTTTAAACAGGTATAAGAGCTTTCTGCTAGAGTTAGAGTAAGAGGTGGATAACTGAATTTAAAACCGTACACATAAGAAGGTTTACCTACTGCATGTTAGTATCTATTGTGGTGTAGCATTACGTGACTGAGCGTATAGTATATATTACGACTATCTTTCGTACGTAGATAGGCACCTTCTCTAATTTATCCTTTATAACGATCAACCTTCAGCTTATTTCTATCTACTCGATTACGGGTCGCCCCTCTAATCTTTTGAGCTCGATCACGTATCGTGCCACACTATATATATTAGAATAGATAATATCTAGTAGATATTATCTATAAGCCTATACTTCTTACTCTAGGTATTACCTCTAGGCCCGATTAGGAAAGCTCTAGGTATTAACCTAACTAATATAAGGCGCGGTTCGCACTCTCAACCGCGCTAAAATAAGCTTAGCGTTAGGGTTTAAGCCCGCAATCAGCCGCTTTACACCCCCTAAATGTTACACAAAGTTAAGTGCTAATACTTCTCTAAGCTCGATCTAGGTTAGAGCGAGTAAGATAGTGTAAAGAGCGCTGTAAGAGTTTATCTAGTAATATAGTAGAGTAGTATACTTATATAGAAGATAATGAAAGTTTAATAACTACTAATTTATATTAAATAGACTAATAAGTAATAATCTTATTAAGTAAAGTAACTAATAGAAAAGTATAATTTAAGTTAAGTATAATAAGAGTAAATAACAGAATCTATCTATTCTTATATCTTTATTACTTCTAGTTCTATTCTCTTTAGCTTTCTATCTTAGTAGGAGGTTTAGAAGAACGTTAGTGTTAAGAGTATAGCTTGAGTGGAAGTAATATAAGACCTCTAGTGTCAAGCTTCTTATTAGTTAGTTTTCGCAGATAGAGAGACAGTATGCAATAGGACAGTAACTTAGGCAAGTAGAATAACTCTATGTATTATACTTGTACTCAGAACTTAAGTTAAACACATCGAGCTATAAGGGCTCGAGGCTTAATGCTATATACTAAGTGAGTGTTATGCTTAATAGTAAGTAATGCTCACTGATGAGCGCTTAATATTAAGTATCTTTGCTAAGTGTTGCTTACTAGTGAGCGCTATAGTGCCAAGCGTCTGCTCATTAGTAAGCGCTTATTATTAAGTAGTTACGTGATAACTAATCCTAAAGAGTGCGTATCGTTTCCTGCAGTTATATCGCCTTCTTACAAATTACTCGTTAAATAAACGTAACGACGAAATATCCTCTATATTCTAAGGCTAGTCGTAACACTACTCTCCTCCTCTTATAACTCGTCCTCAAGACAATATACGGCCTAGAGTTTCTTAGGAGAGATATATTACTATAATTTCGTAGTTACTATAAGTAGGGTGTTTATAGAAACAGTCTATTACTAGAAAAGATAGGTTATTATAAACGTAGCGTTTATATAAGCGCTATATTCCTAGAAGCGTAGAGTTTTTACGAGCGTTTCGTTCCTAAGAATACTAGATTTCTAGGAGCGCTTAGTTCCTAGGAATGCTTAAGAATAGGTACTTCCGTCCGTAATAGGCTTAGTCTAACAAGTACCGCGTTCTAAGGGTGTGGTGTTTATTACGCTAGCTTAATTAGGGTTCGGCGTAGTAGCGCGCTATAACTAGGCTTACCCCGCGTCATAGGGTCTCGTCGTCTGCCTAGTTTCTTCGCCATACCTAAACAATAATCTTTATCTAGTACCGTCCGTCGTTAAAACCTTACTAAGTTTATTAATTCTTTTAGATAAGTTATAGTTAAAAAATATTCTAGTTACAAAAAGAATAAGCGGGTATATAAAGTATATATCTATTCTAGAAAATATAGTAAATATCTTCGTCGTAGCCAGTAATATAACGTCTAAGTTACTAAATTAGAGTTTAAGCGTCTTACTACTAAAAAGGAAAAGTTAAAGGCTTATATTAAAGAGAGTCGTAAGGCGCAGGATACCGTAATAAAAGCGCATAAGGCGGCTTTAGCAGAGTTACGAACATATCATGCTTAAAAGCAGCAGTTACGGCTATAAATAGATTTATTAGAGAAGCGGGCTAAGAAGGCGATTACTATAGAGAGTTAAGAGCTTAAAGAGTTAGAGTAGGAAGGCGTTCTAGAGTTCGATAGTTCCGATCCGTCGATTAACTTATCTCCTAGTACTTAGGGTGCCTTCGCGGATTTGCCCTTAAATTATTAGGAGCCTCTTAATCTAAGCTTAGTTGCTTCTAGTTCTAGTAGTAATGTGCCTATCTCTAGCGGTAGTTAAGGTACGTAGTATAATTTTCCTTAGTGTCACGGTTCGGGCTCACAGGCAGAAAGGACAGGCACGTGTACAGGGTATATTGCTANAGCTAATCAANAGGCTCTCGCTANAGGTAGTAAGAGTAGAAGACAGGACGTAGCTCAAAGAGCTCTCTAGACTGCAGTGCTGCAGTTTTGTAGAATCCGGGTGCTCGGGCCCGCACCCGGAATCT